ATTAACAATATACTATGGACATGCCCACAAATTATTTGAGCTCTACCCCTTTAACCCCCACACACAATTTCTTTACTCACACACAATAAACTTCTGTTGTTGTTGTTTTTCAGTCATTTACATATTTTTTTTTTCTTTTGGCTTTCCTTTTCCTTCTCTGAATCCCCCATAACTGTATCACAACCCCCTCAACCCAATGAATTCTTCTTTCTCCATGCATATAAAATCATTCACAAATGTACATCTGTACACCCTTATCAGTCACAAACAACTAGAGGCATTTTGACACTTGTTTACAAAAATGGGGCCATACACACTTCTTTATATTGCTTTTTTTTTCCACTCAAGAAAATATTGTGGAATTCTATTCAAGTCCACTAGCATAGCTTTAATTTGTCCACTTTAATGGCTGTGTAAACATTCTGTGGAATGGTTATGCCTCCCCCACCAAATCTTCCTACTAGATGGGCATTCCAGTGTTTTTGACATTAATAATTTTACAATAAATGATTATGTTCATCTGTCTTTTATATATTGGGGCTTTTATTTCTAATGGGATTATTCCTCAAAGTAGTACTGCCAGGCCAAGGTATTTGTATCTTAAGTTTTAATAGATGTTGTCAGATTGCTTTTCAAAGGAGCTGTAACAATTTATGTTTCCACCAACAGTGTATAAGAACATCCTTTAAGTCCTGAATAAAAAGTATTCTTAGTTTGTCAGCCAGCTTGCATAGTGTTATCTCATTATAATTTTAATCTGCATTCCCCAATGACTACTAAATGAAGTTGAACATTTTTTGATATGTCCATCAGCTACTTGCATTTGTTCTTCTCAACTGTCTTTCCATATTCTTTTTAAAAACTAATTTATTTTTGATGTTGTTCAAAATATACACAGAACATATACCAATTCAACAATTTCTACATGTATATGTCAGTGACACTGATTACATTCTTTGAGTTGTGCAGTCATTCTCATCCTCCTTTTCTGAGTTTTTCATTCCCTTTTAACATAAACTCACTGTCCTAAGTTTCCTATCTAAACTTACAAGATACTGTTGCCAATTTGATCCCATATAGATAGATCTTAAAAGACCACTATGCTCAGGAAGCTCTGGTGGCGTAGTGCCTAAGGCATCTGACTGCTAACCAGAAGGCTAGAGCTTCAAACCCAGCAGCCACCACTTGGAAGGAAGACTGGGCAATCTACTTTCGTAGAGATATCTCCTTGGAAACCCAAGGAGGGATCACTATGAGTCAGAATTGACTTGACAGCAGTGAGTGAATGATGCTCAAGGAAAAAGGTTTTTTAACTAGTTAAGCTAAACCACTGTTTGGGTAAGAAGACTTCAGGGGATATTTTTGGTTTAAAGTTTAAAAATTATCTCATGGCAACAGTTTCAAGGATTCGTTCAGTCTTTACAGCTCCAGAAAATCTGGATTCCATGAGAATTTCAAACTCTGCTCTGCATTTTCCCCCTTATAGTCAGGATTCTTCTATTACAGACTCTTTGATCAAAACGTTCAGTAGCAGTAGTTGGGCACCACCCAGTTCTGGTCTGATGGCAAAGGAGGCAGTTTTTCATGGAGGCAATTAGTCACACATTCCATTTCCTCCTCCTATTCCTGACTTTCCTTCCTCGGTTGCTCCAGACAAATAGACACTGATTGTTGTACCTTGGATGGCTATTTGCAAGCTTTTAAGACCCTGGGCATTATGCAATAGACTAGAAGATAGGACAAATGTATTAAACATGATATTTGGCTATTTAATTGGAATATCCCTTAAGACTATGACCCTAAACCTCTAAACCAAGCAATCAAATCCCATGAGATGTTTGGCTATATTAAGTAGCTTCAGCTAATCTTTTGCTGTTGTAAATATATCTACAACTTTTTCCAGATGTACAACCTAATAGCAATTGCAGTAACTGGCTATGCAACTCTACCTTAATCAATATGACTTACTCATATTCTTTACCTATGTTTTGCTCTTGTGTTATCTTTTTCCTGTTAATTTGAATACTTTTTGTCTGCTCTCTGCAAACATTTTCTCCCAATGTATTATGTATCTATTTTGTTGATGATATCTTTTGCAATTCAAAAGACTGAAATTTTTATGTATTCAAATATTTATTATTTTAAAACAGCTTTTGAATGTCTTAAGTTGGTAAAGTTAATGTCGACCAAATCTGATATTGTACATGTATAGTCTCCTTGATTTTAAGTATTTTACAGTTTTAAAAATGTAAGTCTTAAATCTGGAATTTATTTTGGATGTGGTTTGTGTTGTTGGTCCAACTTTTTACTTTTCCAGATTATAAGCCAATTGTGCTAGAATAGTTTTTAAATAAACTACTTCTGTCTCCTATGTTTTTCATTTCACCTTTTCCAGAAAAACCTGCATATACCAAGGTCTATTTCTAAGGATTTTCTCTTCTGTTCCACTGATGTATTCATCTACTTTTTGCTACTGCTATATTAATTTGATGAGAAGAATGGCTTCATATTTTCTGATATGTGGTACATTATTTTTCTTTTACATACTTTTCCTGTCTATTCTCAGTCATTTTATTCCATATGAACTTTAAGATCATTTCACTAAAAAAAATAATAATTTATATTTAGTGTAATTCCAAAGAAAATGAATTTTAAATTGTTAAGTGTTTATTTCGAGTGCAGAGAAAAGCTCTTAATTTCTGTATGCTGTCTCATTAGAAAATTATCTTTGTAACTAAAAAAACAAAACAAAACAAGAGTTTCTTCATTTATTGGTATACAGGTATACCATCAGCAAAAAAAAAAAAAAAAAAAATCACACCACATTTTCCACTGCTTATACAGGCTATATTCTTTTGTATTGCCTTCACTGGAACATCCCGGACAATATTTAATAATAGACATATTCAATAATAATACACAGTGCCATCCTACCTCATTTCTAATACTACTAAATTTCTTTCTATTTAAATTTTTTTTTGTACAGAGACACTTTAAGTGGCTATCATCTATTACAACTTAATTTCTATTTTATTAGATTAGAAATAGCTACATATTCTCTTAAATGCCTTCTAAGCATCTACTGATAGTTTTTATGATTTTTCTCTTTTAAACTATTAATTTTATTGATATACAACAAGTCCCCAGGTTATGAACTTATGGACCATGCCTACTTACCCTTTAATGTTATGTAATTTGCCCTCACTTGAAACAATTAAATCAACCCTTACTAGCAGCAAATTTTTCATCACAATCATCTTCACTTGCTGTACAGGCAGCTTTTAAATCATTGGAAAAGCTTTGAAACTTCTGCACTCAAGTGAGTCTAATTAAGAACCAAATGCACCTGTTCTGGCTTACCTATATTCGACTTAAAGACACAGTGAAAGATCTTGTTTGTAACCTGGAGACTGCCTATATGGCCTGTTACTGAACTGGCCCTGTGTTCTTGGAGTATGTCTTACTTGTTTATCATAGCACATTCATTAGGTGTATTGTTGAAATTATTTGCCATTACTTATAATTTTTGATTCTGTATTCATGATTAAGACTGATCTTGGATTTTCAATTTTCCCACAATCTTTATTAGATTTTGGTGTTAAACTTATTCTGACTTCATAAAATAAATTTGGGAGCTTAGTTCATGGATTGAATATTTTAAATAAACTGGAATTATTTCTTCTTTAAAGGTTAACTAGAACCAATTATCTAGGGCTGGAACATTTGCAATCATAGATCTTTAATTACTTTTCCAAATTCTTCAGTGGTCAATTTTCTACCAAGTTTTCTCGTTCATATTGCAATTTCCACAAGTTACATATTTTGCCAGAAAAGCATTTATATCTTGTTTAAAATATGTTGATCTAGAGTTGTATGTATCTTGTATCATTTTTAAAATCACTTCTATATCTGCGGTTATGGCTCCTTTCTCATTCTGGATCAGGTGGTTTAAAGGGAAATTCTGAACAATGCAGGTTCTTAGTAGTCATTTATTTTCTTGTATGGATCACATGGCAGCTCAGGGAAACAGAAAGCCTGTTTTGAAATTTAGTGTCTAGGGCATTCACAAGGAAATATATTATAAGGAAGATAAATGGACCCTGTTCAATTAATTTTAAAAGGGGGAAAAAAACCCACTCTCCTTCATTGGTCTCTGCATGAGACATTTCTGAATTATAAGACCCATACAAAGAGTGTCCCTTCTAATAATATGTCATAAGATTATTTTAAGCAAGACTAAAAATATAGGAATAGTGCACAATATATCAGTTACACTACTTTTTGTCAAATAGTGAATGTGTTGAGTAATGAAGTTTACCGTATTTGTTCTCCCAATATCAGGTTGTAAAACTATTCCTTAACTTTGATTTTAAACATAAATAACTATGTTTTTAACAAAGTGTTTTGCTAAGTTAATAAAAGACTTACAACAAACCATTGCTTTATCATTTAGGAAAGGGCTTGATAACAACTGCTGTAACCATTAACATTTATTAGGAAAAGATCGAGAAAATGTAAGTCGTATGTTGAAGTTATTTAAAAACAGCTGACCATGTTATTTATATTATTATTATTATTGGGTTTCATATATTTACAACACCAAAAGACAATGGTGATATTTAGAGTAGATACCTTGGAGAATGGCATTCTATGTACAATATGGCATATGTGTTTGATATTCACAATTTATGTTAAATTTCACATTTATAATTATATATACAAATAGTGTTTATTATGTGGGTCACTGCAGACTGTACCATATACATCTCCAATTATCTTCACATATATTTTGTATACTATTGTTCTTTCAATTTATACATTTTTAAATTTTCATATGCCAGAGTGACCATTTCTATAATTTATAAAGTATTTTCTATAAGAGTCTGTATCACAACTGGAGCATGAGTTCTGTTATGGCAAAACACTTTGCCTAAATCCATTAAATTGGTAAGATTTCTAAAGATGAATTCAATGATACACCATGAAATTAGATATCTTACTCAAGGCTTTCCCATAATTATTAGGTTTTCATTCCTGTAGGCATTCTTTCTAGCATGAATTTTCTGATGTCTACTCAGGTTTGGCTTCTGGTAGAAAGCTTTGCCACATTCATTGCATCCATAGGGCTTTTCTCCTGTATGAGTTCTCCAATGTTTATTGAGGCATGACTTTTGGCTAAAGGATTTCCCACATTCTCTGCAATGATAGGGTTTTTCTCCTGTGTGCATTTTTCGATGTACATTGAGGTATGACTTTTCACCAAATGACTTCCCACATTCACTGCACACAAAAGGTCTCTCTCCTGTATGTGTCCTCTGATGTTCTGTGCGGTGTGATTTCTGGGTAAAGGCTTTCCCACAAAAGAAACATTCAAAGGGTCTTACCCCAGTGTGAATTCTCTGGTGTTTAATAAGGGTAGACTTATGTGAAAAGGCTTTCCCACAATCAGTGCATCCATATGGTTTCTCCCCCGTGTGACTTCTCTGATGCCTAATGAATTCAGACTTATAGCAGAATGCTTTCCCACACTCATTACAGATGTGGGGTTTCTCTATAGGTGGAATCCTCTTCCGTTTGTACACAAGAGAACTGGTTCCTGCTGGTTTATATGTAAGTGCTGGGTTATGGCTGAAAACTTTCTCACACTGACTGCATTCCCATGTTTTTTCTCCATTAGATCTTCTATCATGATTTACAAACTGTAACAATTTCCCTTTCCCATATTCATAACATTCACCTTGCTGTTTTGAACAGTTTTTTTTAAAACCAATTGATTTTAAATTATGTTTCATGCTCTTTCCACATGGATCCCAGTTACTGGAGCTTTGAATTGAAGGAAGAAGTTCAGCCCTCAGAAGAGATATTTTTCCAAAATTATTACAACCATGACTTCTTTCCTTGGACAATGTTTTCTTGCTGATGAATGAACCTTGCCTCAAAAGTAGATCCTGATGTCTTTTCTTCTGGACATTAGCTTCCCAGAAGTCTTCTGGAGAAAGTACAGTGAACCATTCCTTATGAATCTTTCTACTATTATGACCTGGAAAAATCTAGTTGAGAATTGCCCTCAGATTTAAAGGGTACACAGTGTATGAGTAGAGAGCATGAGCTGTGACCAAAGACAGTGAAAGGAAGAATGTTGTATGGGTAGAGAAGATTCAGAACACTGGCACAAATGGAATGGAACATTAGTCACAGAGTACAGAGAGAAATAATTTTGAATAAGATGGGATGACATTATAGAACATGAGTTGGCATGTTCTTAAAAGGCAGGTTAGTAAGTATTTTAGGCTTTGTGGGCCATATAGTGTATGTTGCAACTACCCAACTCTGGTATTGTAATGCAAAACCAGTCACAGACAATATGTAAATATATGGATATAGCTGTGTTCTGATAAAACTTTATTTACAAAAACAGTCAGCCAACCTTGAGGCGGTAGCTGGCTGATCCCTGTTATAGAGGAAGGGATTAAATGTCATAAAGCACCTTGCTTCTCAGTGTGTGGTTCTCCAATAGGCCACTTTAGCCTCACCTGAGAACTTCCTAGACATGCAGAATCTCAGACCTACTGAGACCACCATAGACCTACTGAATCAAAAGCTGAATTTTAGCAAGATGCCCGGGTGATTCTTAAAACATTATAGTTTGGGAAGCACTGACATAGCTGCCATCAGGTAGTTCATCACGTTGGGCTAGTTAGTTACAACATACATGGCAGAGAGCTCTAAGGTGAACTAGATAAAATGGAATCAACAAAGCTAACTAGGACTTAAAGCAGGGGCTCTTGACTTGGTAGACAGAATTCAGGGTTTGTGAACTTGGATTGGAAAAATATTACATCTTTATTTTTCACTAAGCTCTAAATGAACCTAACATTTCCTTAGATTATAAATGTAAACAAGAAAACACATTAGTATTAGCCATTTCTTTGACTTTGGTTTGTGAATATGGTATTTTCATCTCACATTATAGTTGTTGGGAAAGAGACCAGTTGTGAAGAATATGTAGTTTCAGAATGGATAAGGTCTTTAAGAGAGTAAAGGAGCTCTAGTGGTGCAGTGCCCAAATCATTTGACTGCTAACCAGAAGGTTGGTGGTTCAAACCCACCAGCCACTCCATGGAAGGAAGGTAAGGCAATCTACTTCTGTAAAGATTTACCACCTTGGAAAGCCAATGGGGGTCATTATGAGTTGGAATCAACTTGATGGCAGTGGGTTTGGTTTTTCTGGTTTAGAGAGTTACACTGTGGGGAAAAAAACTAAGTTTGGATGACAGAAAATACAGTAGCTGCATGGAAGGAAAAGGATGGGCTAGAGCCAGGGAAATAGAAGATACAGAGAAAGGAGACTGACTAGATATATTTTTGTGATACATTAAACAAAATTCTTGAAAGAGGAAAAAGGGTCAAGTGAAGGAGAAATACGTCCCAGAGGGCACCAGCATGTAGTGGTTTAGAGCATTAGTTCTGGAGCCTGACAACATGGGTTCAAACACCTGTTCTGTCCTTCACGTGCTGTATGTTCTTAGACACGTTTCTTAACCTCTCTGTGATTGTGTTCTCATTTAGAAATGGGTAATATAGTGAGATACCTCACAAATGTTGCAAAGGTTAAATGAGTTGCTGTATGTGAAGTGCTCAGAAAAGACCTTACTATAGTGTGAATGTTCACTATGTGTTAGTCAATGATCCTAATGCTGCTGCAGCTACTAATACAATGACTAAAAGCTGGATGATGGTTAATTTCAAAGATATCATTTTGAGGAGAAGCATGAAAATGACTTGAATGCTTTTCTTTGTTTATATACAGTCATGCGCTGCATAACATCCATTTGGGCAATGTCCAATCACATATATGTCCGTGATCCCATAAGGTATAACAGAGTTCAGGAAATCCTGATTGAGATTGATTAGCGTCACAAAGTATCGCCCATTTGTTATTATGAACCACTGTATGTACTTCAAATTTTTAATGTAATAGGCTTTATGGGAGTTTGTTTGTAACTACAGGTTGTATTTAAATAGGATGTTCATAACCTGGGACCGCCTCTATATAATACGGTATTCACACAACTTCCAAATCACATAAAGTCCAATTTCACAAAACATATTGTGGACGTTAAGCAAGGCATGACTGTAATATTTAATTCAAGTGTGTGATTACAACACTAAGTGTAAGTAGCATAAGAGACTTTGAGCAAAATTTCCCTGTCCCTTTTGCTGGATTATCACACTCACCCCGACAGTGGCAACCTGGGCACACCGCCTCAGAAATCCATGGTGCTTCTTCCTGTTCCAGTTTGAGTATCACATCTGGTTTGTTGCCTTCATAACCTGTCCCAGGGAAACGATCCAGGCCTTGGGCTGAGCTCCTTGGTCTTCAGGGTCACTCAAGGGTGAGGACATGCAGTTTTAGAGGCTGTACAACAGATGCTATACTTGGGAGGAGACTGTAATTGTACACACACCTTGTCCAAAAAGGAATTTTGAATCTAGGAGCACTACCATACAAGCCAAACTCAACAAAGCAGCACAGTACAAGATTATGAATGTAAACTGTGTAGCTAGACCACTGGGGGTTCAAATCCTGATGAATTACCCTGAGCAAGTTATTTCACCTCTCTGTGCTTCAGTTTCCCAATCTGTAAATGAATAACTAACAAGATCTACCTCATACGGCTCTTATGAGGTTTAAATGATTTAATAGTTTGAATTGGACTAAAACGTTGTCTGGTACATAGAAAGTATCATATAAATATTAAATAAATAAGATACTTCAGAAGCCCTACAGCTGTTAGCAACTAAGAAAGGAAAAGTGGTCATTCCAGTATAATCTGAATTATAGAGTGGAGCTCTCCTTACCCACTGAGACAAGGTTGCTATAGGTCTCCAGCATCACATCCCGATACAAGGCCCTCTGAGCAGGATCCAGCTGGTGCCATTCCTCCTGGGTGAAGCCCACGACCACATCCTTGAATGTCACAGATCTCTGCTGAAGCTGAAATGATTGACATTGAGTCATGTGGGAAAATGTTGGCAGGACTAGATGTATACTGACTTTTATAATGTTCATAGGTCAGAGTTTACAGTGATCACTTATCTACCCATGTTTCCTTTTATATTCCTAGCTTTGTGTTAAAGAAAAAAAACAAAAATCATATTGGAATCTCATTTATACTTAAGAGTCAACAAATACTAACTGAAGACTCATCAGTGTCTGTCCCAGTGCTGTTTGCTGAGAACACAGTCTCAGATGATTCCTGACCTCAAGGAATTCGCAATCTGGAACAACATGTAATGCCATCAGGGTGACAGGTGTCATAAGAGGTGTGAAGGCAAAATATCCAGCCATGGCATGCAGAAAGAAGTAAATGATCCATCAAATTGTTCAGGATATGGTTTGGCTTCACAGCTAAGGATACATGGAGCTGAGTCTTTTCTGCTAGAATAAGGGATCAGCATCCCTTGCAAGAGCAGCAGTATGAACTAAGGCATGGAGGCAAAACAGTGGTTTTAAGGGCAGAAAGTTACTCAGAATAACAGAAAAAGAGTGTACAGAAGCTTTCAAGTGATAAAATGATGAGCTTGAAGACAATGGGAAATCTATCAAGAGAAACGTGTGTAGAAAGCACACTCTAGAAGGTATGTGGTGAGTTTCTTATATTTTACACAAAGTGGTACAACAGTAACTCTAAGCTTACTATTGTTAAACTCTAGGTTAATGATGTATATTGTAGCCATAGAATAACCACTAAATAGTATTGCAATGAGGTATACCTATACAGAACTAAAAAATATATACATATTCAATCAGTCCACACAAACACACACAAAGAAGAAACAGAGAAATAAAAAACCAGATGAAACAAACAGAAAACAAATACTAAAATGACAGACATAAATTCAACTATACCAACATTACATTCCAAAAACCAAACCCACTGCCATTGAGTCAATTCTGACTCATGGTGATCCTACAGGACACAGTAGAACTGCCCCCATACAGTTTCCAAGGTTATATATCTTAATGAAAGCAACTTGCCTCATTTTTCTTCCACAGAGCAGCTGGTGAGTTCAAACTGTCGTCCTTTTGGTTAGCTTCCAAATGCTTTAACCACTACATCACTAGAGCTCCAGAATATAAGACAAACATCCCTAAAAGTCAGAGACTGTCAGGCTGGATTAAAAAAAAAAACAAGACTCAACTCTATGCTGCATACAAAAGATACACCGTAAAAATAAACTCACAGATAGGTTGAAAGTAAATGGATAGAAAGAGAAGTGTGGCAGGTCACCTAGAGGGAAATGAAAGGGAAGAACCCTATAATAACCTGGGTGAAAGATGATGTTCACTGGAGAACAGTAACAGTGAGATGAAGAGGGAACATTGCAAAGAAGAGCTGGAACTTTCATTTTAACTGGTTGTGAGGGGTGGGGAAGAGGGAAGTTGACTACCTTAAGAAGAATGTGACATCAGGATTACAGGAAGACTAATTAACATGATATGCAGATGACACAACTTTTCTTGCTGACAGAAAACAGTACTTAAAGCATTTACTGATGAACAACAAAGACTACAGCCTTCAGTATGGACTGCACCTCAACTTAAAGAAAACAAAAATCCTCACAACTGGACCAGTAAGCAACATTACAATAAATGGAGAAAATATGGAAGTTGTCCAGGATTTCATTTTATTTGGATCCATAGTCATTGACTATGGAAGCAGCAGTGAAGACTCATGCATGCATTGGGTTTATCTGTTGCAAAGACCTCTTTAAAGTGTTAGAAAGCAAAGGATAAAGGTGCGCCTGACCTAAGCCGTGGTATTTTCAATTGCCTCATACACATGCAAAACCTGAACAATGAATAAGGAAGAGGAAGAAGAACTGATGATGCCTTTGGATTATGGCGTTGGTAAAGACTATTGAACATATCATGGACTGCCAAAAGAATGAACAAATCTATCTTGGAAAAAGTACACCCAGAATGTTCTGTAGAAGCAAGGATGGTGAGACTTCATCTCATGAACTTTGGATATGTCTTCAGCGGGGACTAGTTCCTGGAGAAGACATCATGCTTGGTAAAGTAGAAAGTTAGAGAAATAAAGAGTGGAGGATGAGCTTCAAGGAGATGGAACAACACAGTGGCTGCAACAATGGGCTCAAACATAGCAACAATTTTGAGGATGGCATAGGACTGGGCACCATTTCTTTGTCATACATAGGGTTGCTGTAATTTGGAAACTACTTGACAGCACCTAGTAATAACAAGCTCCCAGATGTCAGTGTCTTGTTACCATGTTGTGAGCAGCAGTGTTTCTTTATATGAGCCATATGAATGTCCCTCAGGGAAATGTCTTCAGAAAGAATCACCTTTAAAGCTAATCCTCCCCTAGAGGTAACAGTGTGCTTCTTCTTACATACAATACAAATCGTGGACTAATTGTATTTGCCTTTTTTGCTGGGCTACCAGGAAGACCATAGTTAATGACTCTTTCAGATGCTCTACTTTGTATATCTGTATTCCAGCAAAAGATATTCCTTGTATCACTGTTTGTAATATCAAGTTTGTAATCTACCCAAATGCCTATAAGTGGGGAAATGATTAAATCAGCTAAATTCCATGAATATGATGGAGCATTACATACCTGCTAAAAAGAATAGTGTAGCTCTAAGTACTAAAATGGGACAATCTAGAGGATATTTTAATTGGTGGACTAAAAGCCTAGACCAATATGTGTGTCATCCCACTGCATAAATGCCTAAAGGAATCTGCAATGCTCCACCCACATCTCCCTGCAGGAGGGAGGCACTTGTTATCCCAGATGCCGGGAGAACATTGGCTGCTGCAGGTGTGAGACCCTGTCTAAGAATTGCTGTCAGCCAATGGGAGCTGCCCCACCAGCCTACAACCTACAACTAATGACTGGTTCATTCTGGAATAGAAAGGCTTCCTTGCCTCCATTTACGACACCACTGAGGTCAACTGTAGGTCCAGAGCATCGTGTAAGGTTAGCTAAGGCCTCTGTTCAACAACTCCCTCTGCCAAATACTGCTCTCCTCACTTCTTTACAGACGTTGTTCCCAGAGCCTCTGTAGCAAAACTGCTGTATGCAAATTTCCATCTCAGAGTCAGTTTTCTTGAAAATTAAGCCTATAACAAAGTGCATTTTTCCCAAGAAGGGAACCTAGGATTCTTATTTTCACTATGTGCATATTTGCACCTTTTGACTTTTTTTTTTTTTTTTAATTGTGATTTGGGTGCAAGTTTACAGAGCAAATTCATTGTCCATACAACAGTTCATACATATTTTGTTTCACAATTGATTGCAATCCTCATAATGTAACAGCTCTCTTCCTACTTCCTCCTTGTGGCTACCTTTTCCATGTGTCCTTCTTTGCTATGCATTCTTGCCTTCTGAGCTATCTGCCTGTGCAAATGCTGCCCTTCTGATCTCCCATGGTTGACTGTTCTATGGAGTATACCTAACTGGTATAAATGTTCACCCTATATGCCTGTCTACTGTTTGCCTGGAAGCCACAAGAATAAGTACAATTCCAGGCCTGAAGGGTGACTAGGGGCCATAGTCTTGGGGATTTCACCAGGCTCTATCAAACCAGTAAGCCTGTTTTATTTTTTTTAATGATTTTGAGTTTTGTTCCACATTTTTCTCCCACTCTATGCAGAATCTCCTGCCCTGATCCCTTTCTAAATGGTTGACAGTGATAGACATGCATCATCTAGTTCTTCTGCTCTCATGGTCACACAGGCTGAGTTTCACATGGTCCACTAGTCCTTTGGATTAATAGTTTCCATGCATCTTTGGTTTTCTTCCTTCTTCTTTGCTCTTGATAAGGAGAGACAAATTGTTGCATCTAGATGGCTGCCTATAAGCTTTTAAGATCACAGTCGCTAGTCACCGAAGTAGAAAAGTTTTTGTTTATTATGTTATGCCAACGGAGCTTGATGTCCCCCACAACCATGGTCCCAAGCCTGCAAGCCCAACAACTCACTCCCTCAGCGTTGTTGGCTGTGGCTAAGAAATTATTACAACTTTGCCCTCTGTTAGTTCTATTTAAATGGATGTTCTTATAGCACTTAGAAGTATGTATATACAAATACTGCCTGCCAAACTTATATATGGTCATGGGTATTCTCTTTTGCCTAGACATACCTGATCATTCAGCTTGTCTACCTATGTATCTACCCATTGATCAGTGTTTGTTATTACTGATAATGCAGTATTGTGTATGTAAAAGTGTCTTTGTTGCCTTTTGATTTTTTTAACCCACGCATTTCTCATTCAAAAAAAAAAAAAAAAACACGTAAGTAACCAAAAATATCCTCTGAAGCCTTCTTAATACCAAACAGTAGTTTAGCTAAACTAGTAAAACATGTCTGCCTTGAGCATTATGCTCTTTTAAGAATATCTAAATAGGATCAAAGTGACAACAGCAACTTGAAAGATTAGATAGGAACCTTAGAGGGCAATGAGTTTCTGTCAATAGAAGAGGAACAACTCAGAAAAGGAAGGTTAATGATTGCACAACTTGAAGAATGTAATCAATGTCACTGGATTTTATATGTAGGAACAGTTGAAATGCTATGTATGTTTTGCTGTGCATGTTCTCAACAACAATAAAATAATTTTTTTTTTAATAAAATCTTTGAAAAGCAAAAAGAAAAAGTAAATGCCAATAAATATCAACTCACCTGGTACTCAATCATTTTCTGCTGTTCTTGGAAAAAGAGCTGCAACCTGTGAAGATAGAGATGGGAGGTGGGGAGGGAAGATGGAGAGATGGAGAGAGAGAGACAGAGAGAGATAACAGAGAACAGAGCCTTGAAGGAAGGACCATGCTTGCCTTTCAATTTGCAAATTCCTATGTAAACCTTGTACAAAAATTCATGCTTTAAATCAGTATAAGCAGAAGGAAAATGGTGCCTTTAGTGCATAGCTTCAGAGATTGCAGTGAATTATCCACTTGGCTCACAGATACGTAAAACAAATCATCCAGGAAATAACAGCTACTACCAAGGAAGAACTGAAAGTTACAGGGGGAAAAAAATCTTTAAAACATAAATAACTGGACCCAAGCGTATACTGCACAAAGGCTTCTAAAACTGTTATGAAAATATTATTTAAAAAATTTATCATTTAAAATATAAAATAAGGAACTCAATTAGTACAAAACATTAATAAAAACTGTTTATGATTTTCATTCATAGGAATGAGAGATCCTATAAACAGGCCTGGATATACTGTGCCATAATCAATGGCCTAGAGGTGAAAAGTCACATCCAGGAGCAGCAGGAACTCTCATTCAAGGCTTGTCAGAGTGTAAACTCGTTTAACCATTTTGGAAAACTGCTGAATTATAGCTATTAAAGCTGATCATGGAATGTCCTATGACTCAGCAGTTCTACTCCTAGGTCGATACTAAAGAAATAAATGCATTTTGTTCCCAGAAAGACTCAGATAAAAATTTTCACTGCTGCTTTCATCACGATAGCCCCAAACCGGAAGCTGCCCATAAGAACTGGATAAATTGTGGCACATGCATACAGTGGGATATAAATCAACAGTAAAAAGAAGAAACTGCTGATATCTATACAATAGCATCAATAAATCCCACAGACATTGTCAAATGAAAGAAGTCAGACGGAGAGAACACACTGTGTAATTCCATTTCTATAAAATTCTAGAAGTAACACTAATCTCTGTGACAAAAGACAAAATAGAGGTGGGGAAGGAGTGAAGATGGGGCATAAAGGAGCCTTCTAAGGTAGGGGTCAGCAAACTCTTTCTGTGAAGGGCCAGAGAGTAAATATTTTAGGCTTTGCATATCATAAGGATCTGTCAACTACTCAATTCTGCTGTTGCAGCACAAAAATAGCCATAGACAATAATACATAAACACATGAGTGTGGCTGTTTTCCAATAAAACTATACTTACAAAGACTAGATAAGGACTTCCATAACTGGAAGGCCATATTTGGCAGAAAGGCTATGGTTTGCTAACCCATTTTAAGATCATGGAAATGTTGATCTGAATGGTGGTTACATGAGTTATACATAGTTTAAAATTCATCAAGCTCTACTTGTAAAATTGGTACACTTTGTGTATTCTATGCTTCAGTAAAAAAGAAAAGGAAATCCTGCATCCATGTTCCACTAGGACTGACTTGTATCTTTCCATGGCAGGGAAACTGTCTCATCACTCTGGTGCAAGAAGGATTTGTCTCCTAATTGCCATCCTTGAGCTGTGGCCTTAATTCAAACTTTTTCATCCTTACAGCTGATTTCCACTAGATCCAGACTTTGCCCACTGAGTCAAGGAGGGTAATTTTTAAAACAGAGCACCTACATTGCCAAAAGAGTCACCTCTGTTTGGAGCCAACCCTCTCTTAACATGCAGCCATGGAATACCCTATGAGCCCTGAGGGATATCCCCAAGTTGTGTCTGACTTAACCTCTAGCCAGGGATGATGTTATTTTCTGTTACATGGGCATCTTTGCTCTGGCAAGAGATCTGAGACCATGGGTGACTTCTTCAGAAATGGATTTTTGTCCCAAATTCCCTTCTCCTGGAATAGCAGGTCTTTTATTTGGCCTGCCAGACCCTCAGGGCCCCATTTCTCACCAGTAACTCACCTTCAGCTATGGTCCCTGGCAGGGCCTTCTGTAGAGATGACCAAGGTCCTGTGGCCCTGAAACCTGGTGGGAGCCTTGCCGTCCAGGGAAGTTGCAAGATTAAAGGGTAGGCAGGGCACCCAGGGAACCTAAAGATAAGCAGGCATCTTGGTAAGGGCATCCATCAGTCCCCCCTAAACACTCCCAAGGCCTCATAGGGAGGAGCTTTTAGGGGACTTTGTAGGAGATAGCTGAGTGATGGTTTTACTCTGGATTTGGATTAGGGGAAACTTCTGGAAATACTCTGAATCTAAGGAGTGACTTAGATACAAGTCTGAACCTAAGCAATTCCTCTACCTGACTAAGGATATCTGGAAGAGACATTTTATTTCTCCAGGCCTCAGTTTTCTCATCTGTGAAAACAAGAAGAGACCATGAACAGAAATTAAGGAGCCAGACAGCTTGGGTTCAAATCCAGGCTCTACCAATTGCTGATATGTGACTTCAGATGAGTTACTTAGCCTCTCTGTACTTCAGTTTCCCCATCTGTCACCCTCTTAGGTCTACTGTGAGGATTAAATGAATTCATATAGGGAAAGCCCTGATGACAGTGCCTAGCCTACAGAAATATTTGCCATTACTACTATTATCCTACCTGAAATTTAATGAGTGCCTACTGTGTAATATGCTAAGTAACTCCCATGACTTGCCTCATTTGGTCCTTACTACAATGTTTTTAATTCTATCTTTTTTACCAATAAGAAACAGAGGCAGAGATAGATTGGAGAACATGTCTAATTTCACAGCTGAAAAGGTCTCAGTTATAAAGACTTCCTGGGGAAGTACCCAGGGGACTGCTTTGGACTCCAGGAAGTACTCCAAGGAACCTCTTTAGCTGCCAACTGGGGATAAGCCTTCCATCTTCTTAGTGGTGATTGCATAGAGTGTGTTTTAGTTGTTCCCAACAGAAATGCATGTGGTATGTGGAACTAAAGCTATGACAAATGACTCAAGATGATCAACTTATCCTTGAAAACAAACATGAAGAACTTAAATAAAATAGCTCTTGCAGTTCAGTGACTTACTTGGTATGGCTTTTCTAGCCATAGTCTTTGTGACTTCCACTGGATTACTGGGTGGGACCATGCAAATAAGTATGTAGAATTCTGATGTTGGGATTAGTTAGTGTTGTCACACTGCCAGGCTTAAAATGAGCCCTCCTAGAGGAAAAGGGGGAGCTCTGGTAGCATAGTGGCTAAGACACTTGCCTGCTAACCAGACGGCTGGTGGTTCAAACCCACCAGCCACTCCTCGGAAGGAAGGTTGGGCAATCCTACTTCCGTAGTGATACTGCCTCGGAAACCCAAGGAGGGGTTGCTATGAGTCGGGTTTGACTCGACGGCACATAACAACAACAACAACAGAGGAAAAGGGGGGAATCTTACTGCCATCAAGAGAAAAGAGCTGGAGGTAAAGTAGAGTGCATGCTTGGACCCGAGATCCCTGCAGTGGACCTCCTTGGCAGAGACAGATAGCAGAGAGAGAGAGAGAGAGATGCCCTGGCAGAGAGAGATGCCCCAGTAGAGAGAGACACCAACAGAGACGGTGCCAGTAAGAACCAAGGGGCAAAAGACAGAGCAGTGAGCTTAACTGGCCCACAGAGCAAGAAAGATAAGTGCCCTAGGGCAGGAGCGTTGCTCACAGAGTGGGATGAACCTAGGTGTACTTATTGGCAGAGCTAAAACAGCTTTGCAACATTGGCCCAAGCAGGACAGAGACCAGGACCAGAGGCCAAGGGCCAGAGAGGTATATCTGAGGGCACAGCAGAGGGGAGACTGTCCTGATCGAAGAACTGTACCCTGAGCATGCTCCTGAACCTGAATTCTACCCTGTTACTTCCCTAATAAACCCCATAATCATGAATATTGTCTGTGAATTCGGTGTAGCTGTTGCAACAAATTATTGAACTCAGCAGAGAAGTAGTGAATGTCGTGGGAGGAATAGTTGGTGTCAGAAATGGTAAAAGGCTGGAGGGTAGCACCATGTCTGGCCTCAAAGGAATAAGCCTTGGGCTCCTGATAGTGATTCTGTCTTCCTCTTGTGAAGTTACAGGAAGTCAGAAGATGGCGCCTCCATGTCCTTTTTGCACTCTTATGTATTCCAGGAAAAAACACTTAATAATTACAGGAAATAGGAAAATAAAATTAAGTTAAAAAGTAATCTAATAATTAAAAAATAATCTAATAGTCTGAGATAACCACTGTAACTTATGGTGTGTATGTGTATGTATTTAAAAAAGAAAAAAAAGGTATTGGACTTCTGGTAAGATGACAGAATAGACAGACAAGCTACATAGACTCTCTTCAACAAAGAAAAAACAAACCAATTGGCAGAGATACAGAAGATAATCCTGGAACCCTGAGCTTTGAAAGGAAGTATACAGAAGTGGATTAGGCACCAACTAGTGAAAAAACCTGGATGAAAACAGTGAGTATGAAGATGGATGGAGCTGAGGACTGTCAGCTACTCTGATGGCACCAATAGCCTGAATATTTCTAGGTAGTATTGGGAACTGAGAATTGACCTAAAGATCAGCCCTGGTTACCAAGGACTGCGCTGATGCCCTAAGAATAGGAAATAGCAAGGAGGGAGACAATCAGAGCTGTGGACTTCCAGCTGTACAGAGGGCATGGCGACTTGATGGTTTACAAGCAGTGGCTATTTTGGATATTTAAAGTGACCGAGGGTGCAGCCATTTTGAAAGTTTACAAGAGGTGGCCATTTTTTATATTTAAAGTGACAGCATTCTCATTCCAATTCCAGGGACCTAAGAATAGGCTCCATTTGCCAAGGACGGCAGGGACATACGGGAGGCTGACAATGGGAAAGGAGACAGGTGGTGAGTATATAAGTGCCACCAACTAGCGAACAGAGGAGCACAGTAGACTGCTTATGTAGATAACATCCAAAGAAAACAAAAATCATGGGCAAATCACTCCAACATAAAATCACCAATCAAATATAAACAGAAAAATGTTACAATGTCTCAGAGACAATAGAGCATCACAGTCCACACAAAGAAGGAAGAGAAAGCAAGAGAAAGAAGGGACCAGGATACA